GTAACCAAAATGAATCTTCTACTGGCATTTGCATAAGCATCATGCCAGCCAAGCGTCCCATTCCTTGACAATATCCTATCGATGGATTATAATGTGCATATGCTTTAAGAACATCATGAAGGTCTTCTTGTCTAAAAAAAAAAAATGTTAATATAACAAATAAACATTCGTTTATATATGATACATAAATAATAAATACCCAAAACCAGTCTCTTTTCGAAATTGAATATGGTCAGGATAACATCTATGTATATCAATCTCAATTATATCATAAATAGGAATAGCAGGGCGTTTCCGTAATTCCTGAATAAATTCAAAATAAATAATATTTATATAGATCTTATCTAATATTTATAATTGAAATAACAATAACTTACATCATAATAACCAGGTTTCCTAAATTTATCTGCACTTGCCATAAATTGCCATGCTTTTCCACGCAATGACTCGGGAATACCAAGACGAACCAATTTTTTAATCTGGTCAATAATCATTTCAAAACAACGACATTATTAATTACAATTATTATAGCCATATATTTATTTATTAAATTATGTAAAATATATATATTAAATAATAATACCTTTCTTGAATCTCTGGCCATAATAGGATTCATGTTACTAAGAATATCCAACCATTTTGCTTCATGTTGACGATATAACTGAATAACACGCGTAGATTTTTCTTCGGTACTAGGAGTTTGTATACTAAACGTTGTATTATTAATATTAGACATTATTTAATTTAATTATGTAATAATAAATAATAAATAAATAAACAAAGCAATATACAAACATTCTTGGAATCCTATCTGCTCCTATTGTAATTTTTTCTTCTAAAACATTATAAACAAATCCATATTCATCGATAGTAAGAATTTGTTCCTTTTTCGGTTTTACAACCTCAACTTGATTTTGTGAATTGTGTGATGTCATGGATAATGATGATGATGGAGGTAGAGGTGGCGGTGATGGTTCAGTTGTTACTGAAGATTCAATTGCTGATTCATCTATTACTATTGATGTTTCAATTTTGAATGATTCTAAAACAATTTCTTTTATTTCATTATTTTTGAGATCTTTAGAGGTAATAATGACTTTTGGATTTTCTTTAATGTTAAATTGTTCAGAGATTGATGATTTGGTTATAGTGTCGGGTACCAAATCTATCTTAAAGGTTGGAATGACAACAACATTTTTGTTTTGATCAGATTCTACAAATGAATTCTTGCGATTATATAATATTAAAGTTTCTCCCTCTTCATCCTCACATTCATCCTCATCCTCATCCTCATCCTCATCTTCATCTTCATATTCAATTTCATTCAAATCAGTATCCTCAACAACAATTCGAGGAGTATTTAAAGTATTTGTTATGTTATTATTATCATTACTTTGTATCTCTGATGATGGTGATGATGATAATTCAGTAGAAACGGTAGAAGCAGCAGTAGTAGCATGATTATTTTCATTTGTAATGGTTTCATGTTTAGCAAGTTTAGGTGAAGGTGAAGGTGAATGATGATTTTCCATATTATTACTATTACTATTAACGAAATTTTGTCTATTGTCTCCTGAAATAGAGTTTTTAAATATTAAACTATGAAAAATATGGAAAATAAAAAATGTATATATGTGTTTATACTCACGTTTATTAATATTAAAATTATTTGATGCATCAGGATGATAATATTCATCATGATGATCTGTCTCGATCGATTGATCTTTGTTTTGTAATATAGGTATCGGATTATTATGTTCTGATATATAAGAAGCAGTATCACTAGAAATCAATATTGTTGGTGACGTATTTTGACATTTTTGTGATGAAACTGAACTTGATGACAATGATGATGGTAATAGATTTGGTAATGTGTTGTTTCTTCGAAGTGACGAAAGTGAATTGTTATCTAACAATGTCTTATTATTATTATTATTATTATCATTAATGCTATTCCTGTTGCTATCATGGTTGTTTGTTTCAGGATTGACAAGATTATTATTATTATTATCATTGTCACTGGAATTATTATCTTCGTTAACTAATACAACACCATTCTGATGACCTAATGTTTTAGCGTGAACTTCTAGTATTCTATAATATATATATAAATATTAATGACTATAGTAACAACGGTAATCAATTAGATTTATTTGTTAATTAATTGTTGTTGCCTTTCATAAAAGTTATTGGCTTCATTCATTTTTTCAACTTCTTCATTCTTTTTTCTTTAACCAACGTTGTAATAATTGATGATTTTCATTTTTAAGATCGTGCATTTTCTCTTCTAGTTTACTCAACTCCAATTGTAAAGCTGCTAATTCATCTTGTAATATCTAGGTTTTAAACATGATTTTCAACAGATTAAATCTGATAAATATAATCTATTGTTTATTACTAATTATTAAACAAATACCTGTATATTGACTTCTTTTTCACGAATTACTTGTACTGACAAATCTACTTTTTTATTTAAATTCGTGTTTGAATCTGTTAACCTTAATATTCTAAAACAGTAAATAATAAATAATGGGTAATTATGAACAGAAATAGAGATGAAGATATTTTAATGATACATATACATAAATTATTTATATATTGAAATAATAATATTTTTCCTCTCCTTTTTGTACACATACTTACTCTTCTTGATTTTTTTTATTTAATTCTATATGCTGGTTAAGAACATCAGTCAAATCCAATAATTTTTGAGCATTTTGGCCTTGTGTTTTATATGATTCATCGCGCTCCTCCCTCAATTTTCTTACTTCCTCTTCTAACTCTATATTACGTTTTATAGTTGCCTCACTCCTAATTCAATTATTATCGTTATTATTATTATTATTATTATTATTACGTAATTAACTTATTTATTTATTTATTTTCTGTCTAGTCATAATGTACTACTAAATAATGTTTTCTTCTATTACCCAAATCGTTTCAATTTCTCAAGCTCTTGAGATAGTATAACATGATGTTCAATTGCTGAGCTTTGTGATATTTCTAATTCTGCATTTCTATCTGCAAATTTTCCAAGTTTTTTTACAAGCGAATTGTCTATATCAGAAATAAACTTGGTAAGTAAATTGTAATTATAATTATTAATGCTAACTATTTATTCATTATATTATAGTGTAATTATTCATACAACTTACAAGACTCTACAAATTCAGTGAATGATTTTTCTCTTCTGTCTCTAACCAACAATTTTACCATCAAATCTCCTTGCCAATTACCAGGAGGAATAACACTAACATAATTAATCTTATTTTTACCTTTATTTGATGTTTTTGTTGTTAATGGTGGCGTTTGTGGGGTGTGCGATGGAGATGTTGGTGACGGTGTCGATGATGAAAATGTTGATGAAGATGTTGATGACATGATTTATTTACTCTTATATATATTAATTTATTAATCTATCGACTAGTCGGTTGATTAATTGATTGATTGATGATTGATTGATTGATTGATTGATTGATTGAATTATTGAATTATTGAATTAATTATAAAAAACACAAATTATCAAAAACTGATTATTATCATTATCGTCATATTTAAATACTTACCTTTCCTTTCTCTTTTTTTCTTTTTTTTCAGGAATTTCAGAATTATAAAAAATTTAGATTATAATTAATAGAATAAAATTAATTAACAAACTAATTCCTTTTACTTTACCAAAATAACGAAATAATAATAATAATAATAATAATAATATTTTTTATCATCACTAAATCGAATAATGAATGTTGATGATATTGAGTTTGAAATTTGTGTCACACGCCAAATTTATATCGCACGAACGCATAAACCCATTACGAGATCAACAATAAGCAGATAGATAGAGAGAAAAATAGTGTGATAAAGATATAAATGATAATAAAAAATAATTGTTATTAAAAAGATGCAATATTTACAACTTCAATTAATAAATTGTAAAATAATCGTAAATTTTTCAGGGTCTAATGGACAAATTACACTATCAAGCCTGGCTGGAGTACTGTTAAACATATTAACCCAGGACCCGCGAAAACTATATAGATAGATTGCTGCCGCTGTTGGATTGCTTTTTATAATAAAAAAGGCCCAAAATTTTTCGGCAAAATTGAGCACTAACCAATTTGGAATTTATATGCAGATTTTGCGTATAATTTGGTTAGTGCGTCAATTTTGCCGACGGAATTTCTCATACAGCTACCATTTTTTCTAAAAAAGCTATTTGTTTTTTCGTGAGATTCATCAATATTGAAACGTAACCCCCTCCCTATTAAAGAGATTGATTCATGGTCCCCAGAAATTACTATAATAATAAATGAAGATAAAGTATTCATTTATTTTTTTTTTACTTTATGTATTATTTTAGGTATCCGTGAATGTTTGTCAAAGTCTATAAAAGGTTTTACTTGTGCACTATTTATACAATTGTAATTGTGAAACTTTGTAAATTTCCCGGAAATTAATTAAAGTTGATTGGCGGACCACGAATTAAGGGAAATTGGGAAATAGTGATCTTTCTCAGAAAATTCCTAAAAAAAAACCAAAAATAAAGTTTAGCTTTGAAATGCTAGTGCAAAAATCCTTATTCTACGACACTTGAGCTATAAACATAACATATATAGTTAGTTCTTATTAAAAAAAAATTTTTAAATATTAAGGACATAGCCCGTAACGTCACCGATCATATGGCAAAAAAAAATCACAAGACCACTCATATTCAATTAGATGAAGTTCAATATGATGCTCGCGAAATTCCAAAATTGCTGTTAAAGAACTAGAACCTATGCTTCGGGAAATGTTAAAAGGTCAATTTTTGCTATCAATTTTGAATTTTTATTTTGTGACTTATACAAAACTTTATATATATGGAGGGACATGCTCCAATAAAACCTAACAAGCATTGAATCGTATGTTGCACCTAGGAACTAGCGGCCACATGGAGTTAAAGAACGGTGATCTGTTGTCCCAAACGATCTAATTTATTTAATAGATTATTGATATTAATAAACATAATATTACGATAATAATTGCTATTTGAAATAGAATTCATGTGTAAGCAGGTACGCGCTTGAATTTAGGTTTGAGCTTGATTAACTGTTTAATAAATACTTGTCACCCTGTTGTTTTGATGAATGTAAAGACGATTATAAAAACATCAATTCCCTCATTTTCACAAGTGAATTTTTTTATACAAGATGGTCAAATTAACTTTTTTCTCAAAGAGATGTTCAGAATGATAATTCATTTTTTAGGACCAAATATCAAAATTACCAAATGTTAAATAAAATAATCAAAGGATATCAAAGATTTCAGACATCTCAGAAATACAAAAATTTAATATTACAGATAAAAATTATTTAAACTAATAACAATATAAAATTCATCTCATTGTTCATTAAATATTAAACATTGTTTTTTACTATTACCAAATAAACATATAATACAAATGTATTGATATTTGTCTTGTATCATTAAGTTAGCAATTTCTAAGCTAAACTTGTGAATGGCCATTACTATGTAGTGAGAGCTATTTAAATATCTATCTGTCACAAGAGCCTTTAATAGACAATTTTCATGTTTTTGTGCAATAAGCAGACGTGTTTGATAATAAATATGTTTTTCATTCACAATAAAAAATATTTTGATACAGATCCTCAGTTCGTTAATCATTGATCCATCAGTAAATTGTTTTTTTTTCAAAAATGTACTTATTTATCAGAAGTTTTTGTAGCCTGTTCTATTTGTTGTGGAATTCTTCTATATAGTTCGTCGTCCCTACTGAAGAATGGACTTGTGAGAATGTTGTTACCAAGTATAATGAGACATATCAATTAAGGACATAAAGAAGGCATTGGACAAAATAAAAAAAGATCTAGTAATTGTGGCAGATGCTAATTCAGAATGCAAAGAAAAAACCCGAGAAATCATTAGGTAACTTTTTTTTAGTACCTTTTAAGCAATGCTTAATGAACCTTGTTCTAGATGCTATTAAGTACAATTTCCAGATAAATTTGTTTCAACAGGTACATTTACACAATTATTAGCTAGATGTTTTTCCATCAATTGAGGGCTTTCACTGAACTTCTATCATTACAATTTGCATCATATTTTCCAGGAAATGTTTCGTTTCCTATGCTATACAGCATTTAATTGTCTTTCCAGACTTCTTTGAATCTGGCAAATAAAAGATTTCGGTTCTAGGATTATTATCTTTAAATACATGAATAAGCCGCAAGCAAAAAATGAATTTAGTTTTAATCTCAAATTTCGATTTTTAATTTCGAATTCGAATTCGAAAAATTATTTTTTTTGACGCCATTAATATTAATACTAATATCATGTATGCTAAATATCCTTTTTTGGAAAAGATATTTTTATTAGTAGTTAGTATAAAAAATACATTTTCACACAAAATACCGTATTGGGCTCACAAGTACACGTCAAAGTAAAATAGATAAAAGTTTTAAATTCTTTTAATATCTGAATTAATTTTTGAGATACCAAAAGTAATTTTTTGTCTAAAAGATATTTTAGAAAATATTTTTTAACTTGAATGAACTCACAAGTATACACTTTCTTCAAATTATTAAAATTTAAATCATCTGTTGACAATTTTAACATAAACCTTTTAAACTATCAACACTCTTTATTAAATACAAAATGAGTGAAAAACATTTAATAACACAAGATCCTAAAAAATTGGAAAAATTACATGAATTCGCCAAAAGAGGTATTTAATAATTTTAATACAATTAATCGATTAAAATTATTTAATAACTTTGATAATTTTTTAATTAAAGGCGGAATCGGTAAAGGCATTGCTAATCAAGATACGTTGGCAGATACCGAGGATGATTTAATGTTTTTCACTGGTAATTGAATAATAATAAAATTCAATAATAAAATGATAAATAACATTTTTTTTAAAAAATTAAAATTTTATTAAATAAACTTTTCATAATATAATTAGGAGAAACGGTTACAATTTTAAAACATATTAAAGATGATTATTTTCTTGTAAGATTTTTGGAATAATTATTTAATTGGTCAGTTAAATTCATAATTTTTTATTAATGTTAATTGTCAATTCAGGGATATTGTGAAAGCGTTATTGGAAGATTTAAAGGCAGCACAGTCAATTTCAATGGCCCTCTGAAAGATCTTAAATCATTAAAATTGGAGCAAAAATCTTCAAATCGAAATCATAACGCACCACTTTCAGATAATAATAATAATATTATTAGAAACTTACCAGATTTATCTAAAAGTCGAAGTGACTTTCTTCATTCTGATGCAATTCAAAATCATCAAAAACCGGCAATAATAATAGCCAATCCACTAAAAAGATCATCTAGTTTATTATTAAGGACAAACTATAATGAAACTGAATTTAATCATGAAAACAATAATGATGATGATGATGATAATAATAATAATAATAATAATAATAAGACATTGTTAGATAACAATTCACTTTCGTCACTTCGAAGAAACAACACATTACCAAATCTATTACCATCATCATTGTCATCAAGTTCAGTTTCATCACAAAAATGTCAAAATACGTCACCAACAATATTGATTTCTAGTGATACTGCTTCTTATATATCAGAACATAATAATCCGATACCTATATTACAAAACAAAGATCAATCGATCGAGACAGATCATCATGATGAATATTATCATCCTGATGCATCAAATAATTTTAATATTAATAAACGTGAGTATAAACACATATATACATTTTTTATTTTCCATATTTTTCATAGTTTAATATTTAAAAACTCTATTTCAGGAGACAATAGACAAAATTTCGTTAATAGTAATAGTAATAATATGGAAAATCATCATTCACCTTCACCTTCACCTAAACTTGCTAAACATGAAACCATTACAAATGAAAATAATCATGCTACTACTGCTGCTTCTACCGTTTCTACTGAATTATCATCATCACCATCATCAGAGATACAAAGTAATGATAATAATAACATAACAAATACTTTAAATACTCCTCGAATTGTTGTTGAGGATACTGATTTGAATGAAATTGAATATGAAGATGAAGATGAGGATGAGGATGAGGATGAGGATGAATGTGAGGATGAAGAGGGAGAAACTTTAATATTATATAATCGCAAGAATTCATTTGTAGAATCTGATCAAAACAAAAATGTTGTTGTCATTCCAACCTTTAAGATAGATTTGGTACCCGACACTATAACCAAATCATCAATCTCTGAACAATTTAACATTAAAGAAAATCCAAAAGTCATTATTACCTCTAAAGATCTCAAAAATAATGAAATAAAAGAAATTGTTTTAGAATCATTCAAAATTGAAACATCAATAGTAATAGATGAATCAGCAATTGAATCTTCAGTAACAACTGAACCATCACCGCCACCTCTACCTCCATCATCATCATTATCCATGACATCACACAATTCACAAAATCAAGTTGAGGTTGTAAAACCGAAAAAGGAACAAATTCTTACTATCGATGAATATGGATTTGTTTATAATGTTTTAGAAGAAAAAATTACAATAGGAGCAGATAGGATTCCAAGAATGTTTGTATATTGCTTTGTTTATTTATTTATTATTTATTATTACATAATTAAATTAAATAATGTCTAATATTAATAATACAACGTTTAGTATACAAACTCCTAGTACCGAAGAAAAATCTACGCGTGTTATTCAGTTATATCGTCAACATGAAGCAAAATGGTTGGATATTCTTAGTAACATGAATCCTACTATGGCCAGAGATTCAAGAAAGGTATTATTATTTAATATATATATTTTACATAATTTAATAAATAAATATATGGCTATAATAATTGTAATTAATAATGTCGTTGTTTTGAAATGATTATTGACCAGATTAAAAAATTGGTTCGTCTTGGTATTCCCGAGTCATTGCGTGGAAAAGCATGGCAATTTATGGCAAGTGCAGATAAATTTAGGAAACCTGGTTATTATGATGTAAGTTATTGTTATTTCAATTATAAATATTAGATAAGATCTATATAAATATTATTTATTTTGAATTTATTCAGGAATTACGGAAACGCCCTGCTATTCCTATTTATGATATAATTGAGATTGATATACATAGATGTTATCCTGACCATATTCAATTTCGAAAAGAGACTGGTTTTGGGTATTTATTATTTATGTATCATATATAAACGAATGTTTATTTGTTATATTAACATTTTTTTTTTTTTAGACAAGAAGACCTTCATGATGTTCTTAAAGCATATGCACATTATAATCCATCAATAGGGTATTGTCAAGGAATGGGACGCTTGGCTGGCATGATGCTTATGCAAATGCCAGTAGAAGATTCATTTTGGTTACTTGTAGCAACCTTAGAAAAGTATATGGTTGGCTATTTTACACCCAAGTTGACTCAAATTAGAATAAATTCCATCGTATTTGAACAACTTTTAATTGAAAATTATCCTAAATTAGCACAACATTTGGTAATTTATATATATTTTTTGAAAAATTATTGTCAACAAAATAAGCTTTAATAATAAATATTTTTCAAATAGGCAGAAAATGATGTAATTCCACTCATATATGTCACTCCATGGTTCATGACATTATTTACCATGACCTTACCATGGGCATCTGTACTACGTGTCTGGGATATGTTTTATTTTGAGGGCGTGAATTTATTCTATAGAATTGGGCTGGCAATAATGGAATGTTCACAAGATTATATCCTTAAAGAATGTCCAACAAGTTCAGAAATCTTGGAGTTTTTATTACATATCCCACATGAGTTTTTGACACCAGATTTATTGTTAGAAGCAGCTTTTAAAATCAAGGTTAAAAATCGTGTTAGAAAATTAACAAAGAAAATTGAGGCAATGGAAAGAGAAAAAGATAATATTAATAATCTTGATTTTGTTAATGGAACTGTAGACATTAACAATGCTAGTGTTGCTGATCTCAAAAATAATGGTAACAACGATGGTGTTGGTAATATTGATGGCAGTATTATTAATAATATTGGTGCAAAATCAAATTTTAACAATAATAAAATATTGCCAAAGAAAAAATCAAAAAATGAGAAATTAAAGATTAACGGTGTTGAATTTAAATTAGTCGGGGAGGGAGGTCAATAACATTGACATTATTATATTTATAATTTCGCTTTAGAATCATATTTATAATTTCACTTTAAAATCATATTTATAATTTCGCTTTAGAATCATATTTATAATTTCACTTTAAATCATATTTATAATTTCACTTTAAAATCATACTTATAATTTCATTTTAGAATCATAATTACATTTATATTATAATTTCATTTTAGAATCATAATTACATTTATATTTATTTATTTATTTATTTTATTTAATTTAATTTAAATTACTTGTGTAAATATATATAATATTTAATGAGATGTTTGGTTTAAATATATATATTAAGAATCATTTATTCATTTGTTCCATCAATTCTCCAAGCGATTTTTCAAGTGTATCTATTCTTGATCCCATATTATCCACTAATAAATATTCAATTTAAATAATAGTGATGTTATTATCGTTATTATTCTTATGGCATGATAATGATTATAAAAAAAAAGTTTAATCCTTACTTTTGGAAAATAAGCTTGCTGATAATTCATCAAAATTTGATTGCTAAGATTTTGAAAAAAGTGAATTATTATTTATAAATCTAAAATCATATGATTAAGAAAAATGTTTATACCATTTGTTGAACTACATTTTCAACCTAAAAAATAGATCATTACAAAATATTATTATCATTTAAAAAAATCTCAAGAGATAAAGAAATCGAATTTTCTCTATACATATGCTACTAATTCCTGAGGTGTTTGTACATCATCAACTGGATTTTCCTTGACATTATTTGTATTTTTATTGGTATTGGTGTTGGTGTTGTTGGTGTTGGTATTGTCAGTTTCTTGAGATTCAACTTGTACAGTAGTAGTAGAAGACATTGAACGTGAAATTTTATACCGTGTAACATGAAATACATACCGAAGAAAACTTTAAAAACGGAATTAGTTTATCACTGTCGAAATCTTTAGAAAACAAGTCACCTTTTTTAAAAATAGATAGATCTGACTTTAAGACAGGTGATTAAATACTAGATATGTTTAATAATACAAATGATTTTTAATAAAGTAATTACAAATAAACAATGAAAAGGACAATTATAGGTGTAAACAATGGATGTAACTAGGTCAGAAAAAGGTTGTCATGAAATTATTGGATTTAAAAAAGTAAAAGGTTTAGAAAACCATCAATTAGATAGATCTCTTTGTCAAAGCCCAATTGATGACAATGAAGGATTCAATTACAAAAGGTCTAGGAGAAATACAACCTGAGAAAAAAAATGATGCTTCAATAAGTGATTCAGAAAATAATGGTAAAAAATTATTTAATAAAAATAAAAATTAGATTCTTATAAATTGATCTAAAATTTTTTTTAACATAGTTAGTGACTCTGATATTGAAAGCAAGTTCTAGAAAAGAAAGGATTGGTTGATGTGAGTCATATTAATATCAACATACCAATACCAAAAGAAAAAGATCAAGAGTGTTATATGTGTTGAGTTCAATGTAGTTATTATTGTGAACTCAGGAGAAGGTGAGCAGATCATTGTCACGATAGATATTTCATTTATTATAATGGCATTGATTTTCTGTAGCTCAGCCTCATGTGCACTATCTGAAAAAATCAATATTTGTATCTTCCTCACTTTCAAAGATGAGTGTATGGTCTTTGCCAATTTCCTACAACACAAGTAGGGTATTCTTTTCTTTTGATTTGAAGGACTATCCAAACCTATCAAAAAGAAGTAGGTGTATTTTCCATCTGATGATTTTTCAATGTTACCAGCTGATGAAACATAGATCTTGATTCTCAAAGCAATCTTAATATTGTTGCATATGCCTCTGAAATGGAGTTCTTTTTGTTTTAGGTAGTTATTTTAAGTGAATTTATTGTTTTGTTGTATCTTAGGGGAATCTTTCTCAATACATGGTAAAACATCCTAGCAAGTCTTGTTCTAATCTTGCTGCAACCTTCATCACAAGGTTAGAGATTGGACCCAGGTTGGGTCCAACCAGGTTATGAATGAATGCAACACAATGGTACGTCTGATTTATAATTCAATTTTTTTTACATTTCATATGTATTATCAACATTTTTAATACGGATTATCCAATATCTTATAAATAATGATTTTATCAACAATATTGTTAGAGTTGTCTTGTTACATATTAATATATACTAATGAATTATTTTTGTTTTTTGGATTTTGTGTAATGTCACAATGACATTTAACATACAGATTATCCAACCTCTTATAAATAATAATTTAGTCAACAGTATTGTCAGAGTTGCCTTGTTACATATTAATATATTAATGTTTTTGAAAAAGAACATTGAATGCGAATTTCCATATAATATATACCACAATGATGTTTAACATTATGTCTGATTTATAATTCATTTTTATAATAATTCAAACAGTTTAGATTGTAAAGTTTGGAATTAATAAAAAAATAAAATTATTTTTTTATCATATATGTAAATTAAATCCATATATAGAAAGATCTACTCACTCCGTCGGGTAAACCCGTGGGTCACCCAGGTGAAGTTTTTTTAGACGGGTCCAATCTCTACATGTAATTTTAAAATTCTAATAACCATAAATCAGTCCTTTATAATTAAAAGCAAAACTTTTCTAACACTACCTTCCAAGTGGTTGTAAGCGACTTTGTATGGAACACTTTGGCACAACTGTTGCTGCTGAGTTTGCTTTAGTCTGCATACTAATTGAGCGATAATCTTAAAATAAGTGTGAGAAAAGAAATACTTCCGACCTGGCATAGAATAACCAATATTTAAGCTAGCCTTTTCTTTTAACTGTTGTTAAAAGTCCCAATCTGGCTCTGAAAATCGCTTGCTACATGAAAAACGGAGATTTTTTTTTTTGAAGTGGACAATAATTTTATTCGTGTAACGTTTATATTGAATGACACTTGATCTGCAATGTCCCGCAACTAATAAACTCAATTAATTTGTCGATCATTATTGACCAATCACAAAGAAATTCCGTTATGCTTTCAATTTATTTATTATTATAAAAATATTTAATTTTGCATTTTTCAAATCGATATAGATAAATAGATAGAACATATAAACAGATAAACCAAAAGATGTATTTATACATTTCCATAATAAAACAACTTTTTTTTATTTTATTAATCTGCATACATGTTGTCGAGGTTATACCATTGGGTACAGATGAAGAGGATCTTAATAATTCAATGGTAAATTTGTTTTTAAAAAATTTATATGATAACAATAACAAATAATAAATATGTAATAACGACAATAAATATATGCATTTAAGGTCATAAATCTACTGCAAGAATGTTTTTCAGACCACATGTTTAATTACGACAAATATTTAAGTATAAGTTCTGATCAGTTGAATTCTATAAAGCATGATGATTCAATGCCAATAGAGGAAAAAAAAGAAAAGATAGATATTATTAGTAATGAATTGAATCACATCGAATCGCTAGAGAATCTTACATTTGGATTATTGGAATATTTTTTTAAACTCGTTGAAGAATATCAGAATGGTGATGTAAAGTCACGGTCTAATTTTAAAAAAGAAACACTGAAATTAATTTCAACTTTTCACAATTCTGCATTAAAAATGAATGATACAGAGTTTTTCCAACATTTATTAAATCAATATCATCCAAACGGAAACATAAGGCATGAAAAATTAATCAATAATCATCAAAAAATTAATGAAGTGAAAAAAGACAATTTAGCTTTAGATTTGGTTGATGACATGTTAAAAGAAGTCAGTGATTCTGCCGATCATCTTGAAGAAAATATGAATAATAATAAATTTGCTGATAATCCAAAGATGCACGGATCTCTTGAAACTGTTGTTAGATTGGAGGAAGATGAAGGCGATTTTTTTTCAATGAATGAACAGGAAGGTGATTCAATTGATGATGACGAAATACATAGCCATCATAGATTAGTTGGATTAGTTGATCGTGATAATAATGAATACGTTCTTACTAGGCCTCATGACTTAACTGTCTTTTACGAAGGTAAGGGACAATGTGTAATTTTTGTCATATTTTTAGTTTATGATTACAATAATTCTCTTACCAAATATTTCAGATGCACAACTTTTACGAGATATAATTGTTACAATAGTTTCATCTTTTGTATTTGGCTCAATTTCAAATAGTATTGGATTACCAGGTATATATTACATTCCAATATATAAATGTGTGTCACACATATACATTAGTTGTTATCTAATTAAATTATATGATTAAATTACTATTAACATATTTGAAAAAAACCAAATAAGCGTTTTTGGGCTATATTATCGCTGGGTGTTTACTTGGGCCTGCAGGATACAACGTAATTCAGGTAATTAACTAATTAACCAATTTAATTTAATTGATTTTTTAATATATAACAATTAATATTATCATAACAATTAATACCATGATAACAATTTTAGGAATTAATTCAAACAGAAACATTATCACAATTAGGAGTTGTCTTTATTGTGTTTATGTTGGGACTTGGATTTTCATTTGAAAAACTTAAATCTTCATGGAAATTTGCACTTGGTAGCGCATCATTGATATTCATTTCAACACTTAGCTTTTTTATTTTTTCTGGTTTCATCATTGGCGCAAGTATCAATCAAGCTATTTTTATTGGTGCATGTGTATCACTCTCTAGTACAACTGTTGTTGAACGTTTGAAATGTCAAGAGCTTGAACCATTGTATGGTTTATTGGTTATGCAAGATATTTTATTTGGACTTTTATTGGTATTTTATTGGTATTTTATTGATTTTTGAATTTTAAATTTTATGATTATATTAATTTTATTTATTATATAAATATATATAGGCAGCTTTACCAGCACTTTCTAAATCTGGAATTGATGTGATTTTAGCTATTGGTCATTTACTTTTATCTTTAATGGTGTTTTTTGGGTTAAGTTATATAATCACAAAACTTCCAGTTGCTTGGATTCTTAGAACGACCAAAAAAAGCAATAATCACGAACTCTTCCTTCTTGGCTCAATATCATTATGTTTATTGATGTCACAGTTTTCACTTTTACTTGGTCTTGGTGTTGAAATCGGTTGTTTTGTTGCAGGAGTGTTTATACATAATTGTAGATATATTATTGATTCTTCAATTGGCGTGGTTGAACCAGTTAAAGATTTGTTTTCATGTTTATTTTTTGCCAGCATAGGACTTCACATTTATCCCAGTTTTTTGATTAATGAAGCACCATTATTGCTTATACTTACTGCGGGAGCTGTAGGATTTAAATTTATTAATAGTAGCCTTGCATTAGCGATATTAGGTCATCCAATTCAACGTGCTTCAACAATGGCAGTTGGTTTGGCTCAAATTAGTGAATTTGCATTTGTGCTTGGAAGTCGTGCAAAAGGATATGGAATCATATCGAGAGAAGCATACTATCTTCTATTAACAACTACTTCTTTAACACTTGTGGTGACACCAATATTATGGAATATATTATTCAATAAAAAAAAAGATTTTAATAGTAGTATTGGTGGTGGCAATACAGGTGGGGTGATACCATTTTCAATAAACAATCCTGGAAAGGTTGAATAAAACACCTTTTTATATAATTAATTTTAAAAATAATAATAATTGATATAATAATGAAAAACCTTAATATATTTTTTTTTTTGGTATTTATTTATAATATATTTGATTGATTGGATATTTATTATGTAATATTATAGATAATTTTATTATTATTAATAATGTTATTTTTAATTTTGTAAATAGTAAATATGATTGGCATGAAATATACGAAAATAATATATAAACGAGGGTTTTATCAAAACTCCGCAAAAATTTATGTTCGTTTTTAACACATTGTTCATATTTACCTTTGGCAATTCCCAAAATAAAAAAGGAAACCTATGAAATTTTTAGTAAAAATAGACAGTCTTAATTGTACAGTGAGTGCACCCTCTATAAATGCATCCCTCCATAAATGCATGCTATGTCTCATTCCCAACCTCGGGAGTTAGAGATAAATGCACACCCTCCATACTCTGCACCGCACGGTCTTCACCCATCCCCGTTCATATAAAACCACACTCTCTAAATGCACGTCCGTGACTTTCACGTGATTTATTTGCTAAATAAATTCGTGTTGCATTAATATTAATTAATTTCAGTCTGGGATTTTACCATATCGGTATGTTGCTCTGCCGATCAATTCATATATGTTACAAATGAATTCACAAGATGTTACTCGTCATATTGAAGTCACATTTTTTTAAAAAAAAAATTAAATTAATAATTGAAATAAATAGTCCAAAACTTTCTTTTTCATAATCTGTTAATAATCTGTGATAATCTGTTGATTTGCTTAAAGTATGTTTCTATCAAAATCAGGGAAAATTTAAACGCGAGGTGTTCAATTTCGTTTTTTTTTTATTTAACTATTATTTATTTAAAAACTTTTAGTGGAAAGACAACCTGCTAGTACCTTACCATGCTTGTTCACCACACATGCTCAGAAATATTTGGAAAGTAAGCTGAAACAATGTGAAATCAAAAGTAATCAATACCGGAGACAAGCATTGGGAAATGCAGTAAGGGAACGTCTACATCTATTTACTGAATACTTTCCTGAATTATCTTTGTTAATTGATTCTTTGGAAAATCATTCAATATGTGAAAAACATTATAATCAGATTGTTGCTACTAACAATTTTTATCAGACTCTTTTAAATTCAAATATAAATAAAAATTCAGATATTCCTATTATTCAAAAAAAAGATCCCGGGAAATCAATAATTTGGAATTACACACAAGTACCATTGACATTGTAGCAGGCGAAAATTATATTGGTGAGTCTAACATTACAGAGGAGCTTCAAAGAACAAGAGACATGCTAGAAATGAGTGAATCAGAA